GAGTGTGTACGGAAGCGTTCGAGTGATCGACCCGGAAAAAAATCCAGAAATCGTGCTCGTAGTGATTCACATGATCGTCCGCGCCGTGCGCGAATTGACTCATGTGACCGTCCACGCCGTTGCGAGAGTTCGTTTTCTTCATCGGAGGATTGGCGCGCAGTGGTCAAAAGACTACAAGGGGAACTGAAAAGCGTATACAATAGACCCAACAGCCATGACTGCACTGTGCCGATCGTCGACCCATCTCGAGATGAGTCGGATGTGGAATCATGGGTATCACAGGTGGACCGACTCACCCGCCGGTACTTGTGGAACGACGACGACGTCGTCCGCGGTATGCGAGACGACTATACGACGACGAACAGAGGAACGATCCTTCATGGAAGGAGCTGAAGGAATTGTTCATAAGACAATTCAGGAAGCCGGTGCGGTTTGGGTGACTATTGAGAGAGGCCGCGATGTACACAGCCCGACCGGGACAGCGACACGGGAACTATTGCTTCGAGAAAATGTCGAATGAAGGATGCAATCATCGGAGGCATTGGCGACGACGGCATCGAACGAACGATACGTTCCAAATGGTATCGGAATGTCCACGAACTTTATGCTGCGATGCGGGAGATGCATGCAATGCCATAAACGCCGGCGGTTGCTCGAAGGTCTCCCCGACCGATGGCACGTCGCTACCCAGCAGCGTCGGAAGGGACGAAACCAGCGTTTCCAGTCGTCACTAGGACCACCGACGCGGCACAACCCGGCCCTTCAACGACACCTGGAGAGCAACGACAGGAGTCGTATAGTTGCTACAATTGCGGGAGGACGGACATTCGTGGAGGTGATGTCCCCAACCCCGCAATATCTGTCAGCAGTGCAATGGTCAAGGGCACCTAGAAAAGTACTACTTCCACACGAGACGTGTAAACGTTACACAGGTAAGATTAAGCACCGACAATATGTATAAATTACCGACTCTCGTTAACGGAAAAAATGGTTACTTGTGGACTTTGGGAGTTCGAATACCCTTATACAGCGGGTGGTAGCGGTTAGGTTAAAACTCGAGATGGTAGAGGACGACAGGTTTGAGTTACGTCGATTTACCTGAAATGGAATAATCAGTAACTTGGTTTCGGATATTACAATTAAGATTATGGAAGCATCTGCTAAAGTGACGGCGATTGTTGTATTAAGAACGCGCCGAGGGGTATTAGCGCAATAGAAGGGAGGTCGAAATGCGAGCAACTTACTATCGGCGAAATAGACGAACAGGACCGAAAGCATTGCAGGGCGGTGATCGAAAAGTACGCAGGTTGTATTCCGTTCTCGATGAGTACGCTTGGCAAGGCGGAAACTGTGAAGATGGAAATCCGATACACGACGGACGTTCCAATCGTTTACAACCGTTACCGTATGGCGGAATCTGAACGAGAAGTAGTACGGAAGGTTATTCACTACTTAGTGGACAATAGGATAGTTAGAGACTCGATGTCGCCGTACGCGAGTCCCATCGCTCTCGTCAAGAAGAAAACGAACGACTTCCAGTTATACGTCGACTATCGGAGATTGAATGTCATCACAATTAAAGATCGATATCCGTTGCCTCTGATCGGATATGCAACAGAGTCAGATCAGTGCAGACGTCTTAAATACAATCAAACAGTCGTTTCTTAACCGTTTACGCGAGTGTATTGCAGCTGATTTATGTTTCTTTGGTTTAGAAAAAAAAAATATTTGTTACAATGTTTGCCGAATTCGTCTCAGTATCCGCTAAAAGATGGGTGTAAAAAAATTATAGATTTATTTATAAAGAAAACTGAAGGTGACGTTGAAAACTCTGGAAAAAAGGGATGGCGAAAAATTTGGTATAATTATCTTGAAGCTCTTCTTGAATCATGTTACATTAGAGAAAAAAATTTCGATGGAGTGCGTAACAGTATAATAATCTAAGCTGATCACATAGTTAAATACATATTTCGTAAGTGAATGAACATATGAGACAATTATTCCGAAAAAGTGATTCGGTACTCAAGGGGATATCACATAATGCACGCCTGGCCAAACATTCGCCCGTGGAGCTACATAAACAATAACACCAGTCCTCTCCACACGCTTGTGTTGTGTTGTCACCCTTAGGCAGGAGGTGCGCGCGCATACTGTGAGTGCCCCACTTCCAATACATAGTCACTATGTCAACGTCTGTCGTCAAGAACCAATGAGTAGGGACTTCGGGAGTGCCTAAGTCCAAGGATGACAACATAACAGAAGCGAGTGGTGGGAGCTGGTGTTATTGTTTATGTGGCTCCACGGGTGAATCTTTGGCCAGGCCTGACATAGTGTATGTAGCTTTTCTGTAGGTACAATGGTGGGGGAAATTTTAAGGACAACTTAATTTGTTAAAGTGGAATGGAAATGGAATAAAAAATACATACATTTATATTTATAATATAAGAATATTTTTCGCGATGACTTCAACGAACTGCAATATGATGTACATTCCGTCTCATAGATTGTTTTGGAGCGTACGTTGGTTTTTCAACAAGGGAGTCTGAACGATCATTTGTAATTTCGAAAAAGTGATAATCTATGAATGAGTTATTAACACTCATTAGATGTTAACGTCAACGTGTTTTAACTAGAGTCGAAAGCAGCTGACTTGGCGTTGTTAGTCCTTCGAAGGATTTATGATAGGGTTTTGAAATGCGTGCGGTCTTGAAAGAGAGTACATGAAATCTTAAACGGACTTGTCATTGTTTGGTGGCGGATGACCAGCGTCGGATTAAGGGAGGTGGCCTAAGGGGGTTTGCAGTCTTGGGCCCCACTTTCCAGGAAGGGCCTGATCTAAACCGTCCATTTATGTAAAAAAATAACTGAACGAAATTTTATTTAGGTACTGCTTTCCTTTTGAAATAATTAGAAACCATACTAAATGTAGAAATAAATCGGATGAAAATTATTAAAATGTAACGAATGGTTCTTAATGTTAAAATAAAAGTTACTGTTAGCGCCCCCCCTCCTCTCCCCGCTTGCCAGTCAAAGAGGCCCTCTAAGGTTTGATAGCCCCGGACCCCAAAAATTGTAATCCCAGCCTGCTGAAGACCACGTTGGGTCATTTGGCTATCGGTAGTGTGGGTTTGTTTATGTGAAACAGATGAGAAAAAATTAGAAACGGCAAGCAATGATGTATAATTGATGTATGTACGTTGTCTTAAAGATAAGGATATTCTTCCTTCAGAATCTGGCCACGAAGTGGGGAAGGCGAGGATGCCTTCTGATAAGAGACTGTTGGACCGCACGGTACGTATCCAGAATCTCGAAGGAACGCAATTGCAATCTTAATTAGAGTTCGTTATTTCTAACATACATAATTAAATACGATCCAAATCGTATTGTGTTTGATTTCATCTTAATTAGAAAAATGACGCCAATAATTTAAATATATTTTCATAACATTGAAGTAAATAATATAAAACTTTCATGTTTCACTATTAATGTATAATAGTTTCTCGTCATGCACGATTTGCTGTCTCAGCCCTCACTCCCTCTTTTAGTTTCATTCACTGACCTTTTCTATGATCACCGTTGGGCGGCAAAATACAATGATAAACTGCCGACTGAATGAGGTAAGAAAATCTGTTCTGCCCCGCGCTAACTGTTCTATCAACCAGTCCGATTTTGTTCAATCCGCCGCAACCGCTTGCGTACACCTGTTACGGCAGCAATAAAGGACAGAGAGTAAACAAAGAAAGACGGAATGAGCGTCGAGGCTACAATAAATACTTCCATGCCCACGTATATGTGAGTACAACACAAATGCATGGATGAAACTTTTTCAGGTTTGATTCTGTGTTAATAAACATGTTGTTAACATATTGATGAGATTTTTCTGAATAACATGATATCAACACGATAGAATTTGGATCATTTGTAATTTATCCGAAGCGATAATGAGAGAAAATGAGCTAACATGAAATAAATAAATATAATTCAAATTATATTGTGTTTGGGATCACTTTAATCAGAAAAATCTCACCAATATGTTAATAAAATTTTCATTAACAAAGAACTAAAAATACAAAAGTTCCATTGCTACATTAGACTTTCCATACTGATAAGCAGGTTTCCATTTCCTCACCGTCGCTGCCGTCAAAACGTAAAAGCGAGCTGCCGAGGTCTGGCTTGAAATTGACGAAAGATTAAAATCATGTTTGTACGTTCGAACTGCTCGCACGTGGTCCCGAGTTTCGTGCAGTTAAGGAGGCAGTTCTATACGGTATTTGACTTTTTTGTTATGTTTACCGCGGTGTGGTTTTGCCATATTCACGTTTGTTTGCTGGTTTACAGAACTGTGTTTTAGTCCGGGTACGTGGATTTTTCCTCGTGGCGTGATTTCAGTGTTTTTGGTGCCTTTTTCTGTTCATCGCTTTTAGTGGTGGAAGGGGGGCGGGGGTATTTAAGTACGTGCGAGTATGTGGATATGTATAGGTGTTTGTACATACCAAGAGTTACATATATCAATAAAATTGTTGATGTTCCTTTCTCTTTTACTTTTATATTTTGTTGATCGATAGATCTCTCTAATAATGAGATGACTACGATATACAAAACTTCATTTTATTTCTAATTTCATACGTGTGCTTAATTTTTCCAAAGACACTTGAACGTTCGTGTTCATAAGAGAGGAAGGCATTCCGAATACATGTTACAATGATGAGCGGGTATTGAATTTTTAATATTTCTATAGATAAGACTATTTTATACGAAGAAACTAGTCTGATTAATGTGAATCATTTTTATCTACAATCACTTCTGGTTATTGTATCGTGGGAAGAAATACAGCTTACGACTGTAGAATTAAATGTTACGGAATGAATACGTGGCATGTAACAACATTTTTTTTCGGTTTATTATACTGTTTAAAGTAAAATTACTAAAGAGCAATATTAAAGAATATCGTCATAAATTTCTAATGAACTCATATTGATGTGTATACATTTATTTCTTACCTTTTCTTGTAGTTCTTCCAGTGTAGTTTCGTATCTCTCAAGCGCAACACTGCCAGTGAGTACTTTCTTTTTTAATTGAGAGAGTAACCGTTGAACTTTTTTCAATAAAGTTTCTCTGACTAAGTTTTCGTCTTTACTGTAACTCGATAAACTTGCTGCAGCTCGTTGCCAAATGGCAATTTCATGTTTTAATTCCTGCAATAAGAACACGTGGGTAATTTTTGGATTTATTGCTTTCAAACTACCTACGCAAAATATTAAACATATTTGGAACTATGTAGGAGAAAACTGCTGAATTTGGATTGTCGTGTCGTCTAATTTGGAGTACTACTATAACTTGTTATGTGTAAGCAATTTGCGCTGCATGATAGACAATATGTATTTGTTATATATTAAATTCGTTATTGCAATCACCACTATCGCACAGTGCCAGCTGACGTTCAGGTAAACGGTAAACGATGGCAGTAAGCTATAACAGTTAAGAATGAAATATTTTAACATTAAACTGAAACTGTTCTTCAGTTGTTCTGAAGTAAATAGTAAAACATTAAATTAGGTATATACATATAATCTATATATGTAGAAAGTACGATAATTAAGCTACAATTTCCTGTATTGATTTTAAATATCTTATCTGAAAGTACGGATCAGTGAAATATTTTTAATTATTCCGTAAAGTTGCCTAGATTGGAGCAAAAGTAGTTCCCTAGATTGGTTTCTACATAATTCTAAGTGGTTCTGTACTTTATGTGTAAAAACCGAGCAAGCAGATATACAATGCATAAAATATCACACTTGGATTCATATACTGTGCGTTGGCGTAAGTTTAAAAGTCTAAAATAAGTACTATGTAATTTTAAATTGTATTGAACAAACAATCTTGGAACAATAGTTCTGTACTATGAGATTTTGCCAATTATGCTGGTATCTACGTACCTAATAATTTTCTTGTAGATGTTCTTAAGAAAATTTAATAAGTTTTATACTTCAATCTAATGGTTCAACATAGGAAACGAGTTGCTTTGATTGGACTGATGTGACAATTAAACAAACGACCTGTATACTTTTTATATTATATCTAGGGCAAAATAAATTACGTTATCTTGAAGGCTAAAGTAGTGACATTTTTTCCATTACTTCTCAGAAATTAAAAATATTTTATTATCTTGTTAGAATAAGAAATAGTTTAGTGGTCCAAATTCGGCAATTTTCCCTCATTCCCACTACTCGCAGGGGTTGCGGTTTATGACAGTATTGGTCCGTGTGTCGGGAGGTGTGTAAAGTTGGGATCACACTGTACAAAACATTGTTATACAGTAAAGTTGTAAAGCGTATTAAAGAAGGGATAGAAAGATGTTATATAATATGTTACATATGTATATGTATGTATATTATGTATACATAGTATGTTTGCCAGTCGGTCCAACCAGTGTGAAGTGGTTTTAAAACATTTGCCATCTTCCGTATGCAGATGGTTGTCATCTCCATTTGGCTGAAATCTTTGATCGGAAAGTATTTCCTATTACTGTTTCATTAAATATTGCTTTTTACTATCATGACAAAATGGAATGGAGCAAGGAACTGACCGTTCGTGTAATTCAACTGTTCCGAGAGTAACGTGTGTGTGGCTACCTACAGCTATGAACTTCAAAGATAGAAAGAATACGAAGCATGCTGCTAGAATTATATGCTCAAGTTTTGACGCAATTGTTAATAATGAAATGCAAAATATTTTACAAATTTGACATTATAATCTATAATAGTAACAAATTATAAAGACGTCTAATACAATAAAGTTGCAAAAATATTGGTTATATAACAATGTTTTGTTATATAGTGTGGATTAAGCTTAACGGTGCATCAAAACCCCTGCACAAATTAAATAGCTCCTTATTCGCTATTTCGCTTAAAGAATAGTATGTAGAAAGTTCTTGTTGAGTGTTCGAAAGGCTCCTCAACACTGACAGTGAGTGTTCGGACTCAGACAACATCCCCACCACTAGGGAAGGGGACCGTGAAACTATGGTCTGTTTTTCGAAAGATGATGCCTGGGAGGTAGGCTCGAGTCTTCGCGGTGTTGCCACGATCACGAGACACCTACGGCACTTGTGTCTCTCTTACTCTTCGCGTCTTGGCCAATAACGTGAAACCGTCGACGTGAGTCCTTGCCTACGGTCGTCTGTCTCCATCACACGTATTGCAAACCTCTCGAGAAGGACCTACCTAGAATCTCAAGGAGTGGGGACTGCGTTCGGCACGCGCCCGTCAATCATCCATTCTCTGGAAATGGCGGAGAATGTTGACGAGATGCTGAACGTTTTTACACATCAAAAGTTAAAATACATGAATAAGAAAAATTTTATTTCTTTTGAAAGAATGTATTGTACCCAAATATTGAGCAACATATTGAAAGGGGATTAAATTAATACGTCGGTTATTAAACGCTACACGTGGAAATAGCAGGGTAAAGTAGGAAGTTGGTTTACCGAGTGTCTGAGCGAGAGGCTCTCGTGCCGAAGTGCTGGAGGATGGAAAGAGACACACAGTGGCATTGAGACCGTCACAACGTCGCACGAAATACGTAGCTCGTGTTGGATCCCCGCCAGGCCACGCGCCGAGGTAGGCCAACCTCCCAGGCATCATCTTTCGAAAACATAGTTATGCGCATACTTTGTTGTCCCCCACCCCCCTCGCCTTTGTTGCCGAGTCTGGGGCTTCGGGTAAAAAAAATATATGAGGTGCTGACGACTTTTCGCTTACCGCGTGAATGTTCCGTCGCGGAACCGAGCCCCGAACACTCACCGATGATTCTCTGTATTTGCTTTCAGCTATGAAATAATCTATGATTTCGAATATAAAATCCCAGCTGCTCGAAGAATGGCAAGTCTTTCGTTAGACGTAACAACGAGTGAAGAGGTAAATTTTATAGTGCTAAATGAAAAGTGAAAATTATACTTACTTGTACATCTTGTGGTTCATCGAATCTAAGGACAGCCACATCTCGAAAGATATATCGTAGCTGAGCGTAGACTGTAATTATTACCAATATTACACCAATGCTCATGTGTATTGTGAATGTACTGAAATCGATACCCTAAATGTTCAGAACATAAAATATGAACAAATAATGAATCTTCATATACGTGTAAATGAGTATACAGGGTGTCCCACCTAAGTATCGCCACGGAATTTCAAGACTTTTCATGATCTTTACAAAAAATTGTGTTAAACAAAAGTTAAACTATATTTAAGTGTGCACAACTTTCGTAATTAAGAGTTTATTTATTTGTATTTGGTAAATGAAACTGTAGAATTTTTTGAACATTTTTTATTAGTACTAATTGTGGGAAATTTAATGGCTACAAAAATGGGACAAAAAAATATAAATAACGTATAAAGGTCAATAGAAGTTATACAACGTCGTATGTACCCTCACGAGCATACTCCCGCGATTTGGTTTCGGGAATAATTGAAATATATGTCAAATTAACATTCGATTTACCATTTATTTTTAGTTTTTGGAATAATTTTATCAAGTTGTAGGAGGTCCTTCTCCTACGCCACTTTTTCCCCTAGCAGAAGCCGAGTTTGCTCGCGAGGGTATACCGACGAACAAACTCTGCTTCCTCTAGGGAAAAAAAAGCAATCTAGGGGTTAGGGTCACCTATGGGCGGCAGATTTAGGGGATTTTTCCGTCTCGGGATGGTGGAAGAATGTTCAGGTGGATCCGATATCTCATAAACATGTTTTAGTCAGTCGGAGAAGTCTGGAAGCCCCGAAAATCACACCCTCTCGCCTCCACGCGGTGCCGCCTGAGATCCTGTCTGGAGATTCGACTCTGGATAGGATGCGAAAGAGAGGGTGACCTTCTGTTTCAGATAGGGGATGGAAGTCAGCACGAGCAGAAGTAGAAGGATAGGAGAGGCCAAAGGAGACGACTGCAACAGAGTAGGTATCGTTCTCCGAGCCCTGAGAGGAGAGATAACGAGCCAGTGTTTTCTAGGGGTATTTGGGTTCGATACATACGGGGACCCCGTATCCGTAAGGATAGACAAATAGGATACGGACTGGGAGTGTCTTGTCAGGGAAGCATGTGATGTTGACAGAGCCACGGATAACATTTTTGCTAAGGAAAAATTTGCTCCAAATCGCCTCACGAATGTCCCCCTTCAGAGACCTACAACATTTTTGTTACACCCTGTATACCGCAGCGTTTCATAACTTCTGTTAAGTTTTTATACGTTATTTGTGTTTTTTTTGTGACATACAATAGTCGTTAGATTTCTTACGATTCGTATTTATACAAAATATTTAAAAAATGTTGTAATTTCATTTAAACAACGAAAAGAAAGATTCGTATCCCCGAAAAATTGCAAATATATAAACTCTGATTTATCAAAGTTTTGTACACTTAAATATTGTTCAACTTTTGTCTAACGTAATTTTTGGTAGAGTTCAAGGAGGTACCTGAAATTTCATGGCGACATTTACGTGGGACACCCTGTATACACAAAAAGTTTCTTTGTTCATTCATACTATGTTAGTATCGAATACATAATTTCAAACTTTTGAAGTACCTGCATTATTATTTGTATACAGGGTGTCTCATTTGCCTTCGAATATTTCCGACATTATTCGTGATACTGGAAAACGTTTCGAACAAAAATTAAATGGTTTCGGGGGGAACATAATTCAATGTCGATATCTTTTTGTTGGTGGAAGCGTAAAGAACATATGAAGGTTAACTTCATTTTTTTAAATGGAACTGTACAATTTGTAATACATTAATCGACGCGGCTCGGCATTTCCTATAAAAAAAGTACTAACTGTTTATGCCGAAAAAACATTAGTTTAGGAGATATTTTAATTTCAAAATGACAAAGCGGTGTACTAGTAATACGATGTTTACTTTAAAGTTTATATGCACAAGTATGTCCATAGATGTCACGCGTAATTTTGAAATTAAAATACCTTCTAAATTAAAAGATTCTCGATATAAATAGATTAATACTTTTTCGCAGGGAATGATGAGTTCCATCGATCAAAGTATTAAAAAATGTATTGTTCCATTAAGAAAAATAAAATTGGCCTTCATATATCCTCTGTCTCCACCTAGAAAAAAACTATTGATATCAAATTATGTCCTTCTCGGGACCATTTAACTTTTGTTCGAAACATTCTCCGGTATCACGAATAATGCCAGAGATATTCGAGGGGATCGACTGAAATGGGGCACCCTGTATATTATTACTATGAATCATTAACACATACTGTTATTATTATTAGTAAAAACTTACTATCGATGCGGTTTTTTTTGTATACAATATAAGTAAAGGAGAAGTTAAATTATTAAAATATTAGTAAAAATATTTACTTGTTTAGGAACACTTACACTATTTATAACATCACGATTGGATGCGATAATTACGTTCGGCGGGTCACCCACGGGTGTCATAGCACCGCCGATGTTAGAGAAAACAACTATTGCTGTCAATACTGGTACCGGATTTAATTCCATTACTTCGCATAATCTGATTGTTACCGGTGTCATTAAAAGCACTGTTGTAACGTTATCTAAGAAGGAGGAAATGAACGTTGTGAAGAAACATAACGTATTCACAAGTGGCCATACTCTTCCTCCAGTTATCTAAAAATAATGAACATAATAAGTGATAAAAATATCTCTGCTCGTGATTGATCAGTTTCTTTTTTCACATTTCATGGTAAATTGTGGAGTATACAGAATGTAACAAACAAGTTGGAGGACTCAGGAATACGAGATATTAACGAAAAACCCCGACCTATCAGAGCGCGAGTCTGCCAGCCGGGTTCCCGCAGTAACGTTGACTACGCTCTGCGATTGGTAGCCAACGCTATCGCAGGACCTCGACTGACAGACTTGTCATTGGACGGGGTTTTTCGTTAATATCTCCTTAATAAAGCCTCGGATAACATTTGTGCTAAGGACAAACTTGTTTCAAATTACCTCACGAGTCTCCCATTACCGGATCCTCCAACATTTTTGTTACACCCTGCATAATAGTGTGTAATAATCATAGACCGTTTGTCTGCTCAGATTTGAGACACGTTGAAATATTGGAACGTTGTGCGATACTGGGTAAACAAAGAAAAATTAGCGTTAGTTTTATTTTATAACGGACTAATGACTCAAAACACAAATAAAGAATAGGAACAAATTGTTTAAATCATTTTTTGTTAGAAAAAGCACTTGACCATCATAAACCAGCCTTGGAAATTATTTAACACGTACTGGATTATTCCGAACGAATAAGGAAAACAAACGAAGTTGCTAAGAGAAACGACATCTGAAGGAACTACAAGTAGAATGATAGGAAATACGAAAAGAATTTATTGAAAACTTCTTTGACAGCATCTTCGTACGAATTGCTACCGTTACAAGAATACAGGTCATATAAGACATTATTTTCAACGAGTTATTATTGTTTCACGGTGAATAATAATTTTAACATAAAAAACTTCCTAAGAAGTAACGACACAGTTAAACTGGTATTGGAAATTTTTAAACCCATTCATGAAGTAATGATGTGATGTACAATATATTCTTCCAGTAGATGTGTCGGATGACCAATCTAGATACCTATAAACTTTGATTTACTCTATGAACATTCTGTACTAAGGTCCACAAGCAGCATAATCCATAATAACAAAATAATTAATTCTAAAACTTTTAAAAAAGTGCGGGAAAAATTGGGAATTTATGGGACATTTTGTGGCGCTCCCACCAGTTGGTGGCGGGAATTGGAAGTAAACCCAGAACTTCTTGTTTAGTTCGCAAAGTCGCCACCAGATGGCGCTGCTTAAAAAAAGTTTGGGGATTAGTTCCAATTTCCGCCACCAACTGGTGGGGGCGCCACTAAATGTCCCATAAATTCCCAAATTTTTCCAGCACTTTTCTGAATCCAAGATGGCGGAAAAACCGGCATGTTTTCAAGTTTTGGAATTAGTTCCAATTTCCGCCACTAACTGACGGGAGCGCCACAAACGTACAGGTCTTCCGCCATATTGGATTCAGAAAAGTGCTGGAAAAATTTGGGAATTTATGGGACATTTAGTGGCGCCCCCACCACGTATTGAATACGTGACGTATTTCAGATTTTTCGAGAATACTGTGTATTCTAGATTCTAGAATATTCACAACGCAGCTGGCGTAATTAACAAAAAGCGGTCAAGAATGAATGTGTGTGTGCGTGCGTGAATTGCACATAGCACGTGGCAAGGGGCTCTGGAAAATCCTGGAATGTTCCTGATCCGGAGTCCTCATGCAGCGTGCCGTGTATAAGAATAATTGATAAACAAAATGGGTTGAGATAATCGTCATCAAGCAGTTCATCGTTTATTGGGTTCATTCTAAAATAGATATTTCAGATATTTAAAATCTCGTAATCAGCTACCAAAAAAACTCTGTATATGCCGTTTCGTGCAAGTTGAATGAAAAATCTAGAATTTAGCCCAAAGTGGTTGTTATATTGTATCCGCCGTGTTGAATTTTGTAATTTTTATCTCAGAATCGTAATGAGCAACCCCAAAAACCTATAAATGACCTACGATTTTAATGGTTGATTCAACAGAATAATGTGTCCCTGAAAATGGGTTGGGTCTTAGGGGTGCTTTGTGGGTAGGGGCCCCAACAGCCGTTTTTCTAGGGTGTCGAAGAATATCTATGCCACATTTGGTGCGGATTCGTTGAGCGATATAGAAGCATTTACATTACTGTATCCTAATTGAAAATATTTTTTTAAGTAGGTATACTTTGATATGTGCAGTTTTTCTGTAGACTACATGTTTTTTAGAGGCTTTGTTTCAAGTAAACTGGTGTTGAAGATGCATTGGATGGGCGAACACTTCAGTAATAGTTAAGGGTACCCTTCGGTCAAAATTTTTAGAAAAATCGGTTCTTTTTTATTACGCATTTTCATCGTATAACATCTCAAAAATACTATTTTAAAGTTTCAGTCCGATATTTACAGAAGTATAGATTCTGCAAGTATGTAAATGACCCAAACGCGTCGACCGCATGTAGCACTCGAAAGATTAGATCCAGAAGTACAAGAAATCGTAAATCCAGTATATGAAAACTTGATTTCTGATGAACTATTAACATGTTGCGCAGCGACAAATATTCAAAATTATAACGAAACTTTCAATAAGTGTAGGTATACGGCAGCTCGCTCAGAAACACATGTTTTGTCGAAGAAACGTTCTTAAAATTTTGGCCTGGGTTTCGGCATGCGTGTTTAATGAGAGACGAACCCTTTATCAGTCGTAACGCTAAAAATTTTGTCATCAAGAGATTAAGAGCGCATAGCGGAAGCCAACAGTCGTAGCACTAGCGCATCAAAAGAAGCTAGAGTTGCTTGAAAAAAAGAAAAAAGTTAGTTAGAAGTAGAATATGTAATCACGAATGGTGTTATTGTATGGTGCAGGAACATCTGACTAAAGGTAAAAAAGCTTTAAAATTGTTCTATATGCATATGATTAACTCGAGAATGAAAAAGAAAAACTAAATAGGTACGTTTTTCTCAAAACACGATTTTTTTTCCACGGGTGCCTCGATAAGAAAGTTAATTGTAGACGGATTTAAAAAATTCTTGCGACATTTTATTCATAATTTACGTTGCTATCCCGTTACTTACGGAGGTTATCTTTCGAACATTCATTTTTTTTGTGGACAAAATACGTGAAACTATCCGTCTTTTTGCAACATTCTGTTTAAACACATGCCACTCATTTTATGTGAATTATAATAGAATCCAACATTTTGAGAAACTTTACAGAGGGCTTGAGTTCATAGATTCAAGTAGTGGTCGGTAAACAAGAATGGAAAAACTAAAGGAGATTTAAAAAACACAATCTTGTAAATAAATTGCTTTTGAACTTCCAAATACCAAATTTCTATTACTAGTTAAGAATTCGTTATACAACTACGCTTGGTGCAATGCATGATATGTTGCAAATTTAGCATATTAATATTTACTAGATAATTTCTGCAGCTTTATTTGCATTCCCTATAGTAAAAATATACACTCTAAGACCGAAGTACTGTTTCCACGCGATTTTGAATCCATATTTCTTATCGTTTCTCTTATTTGCTGTGATTTCCCTTGGGTTGTCTTAGCCCAGATATTAATTTAAAATGATTGTTTATGGTTATTCAAACGTAGATAAATGGTAGACATCTGTTTTATATGTAGTCATACAAACTTTAACGATACGTATCAATCATCCTACAATGCATTTATGAAATAGCTTGAATGTCTCTGAAGTGATTAGTTTGTTAACATATATATGTTTACTATTATATTTAATTTATTTTTCTTTTCATTAGTCTTATTGTCCAGTTATGTTTATGCTTCTAGTGGGATTGAAACAGATACCAGAAACTTATCGTATACTAATTATACATGAACATAAAGAATTAAATTTTAAAGACAATATATGTACAAATATTTTTAATGTACCCAGTTTTTTCAATTTAAGACAAGTGACTTTATCAATAATAACGTATTAGTCAATTAATAGAATGAAATTTAATGGCAAATTTTTTAGTTACAGAGGAGTCATAGTTACAGTTATTCTGCCTTGCAAATTTTTATTTATTTTTACGTTAAAAGATACATAGTTATTTTAAACTACTATCAGTTGAGTTCTGGTTCGTTATTATACTTCTTACTATCTTTAATACGAATGGTAATATTATTTATTTATTTATTAATTTCATACTGATGAATTGTGTCTTACCTTATAAGCATAGACTGCTAACCAGTCAAATATGCCAGTTTCAGCAATAACGGCAACAAGTATCATCATAGAAAATAATAACATCAGCGTATCGACGTCTATCCATGAAATCAATTCACCCATTGTTGGCCTCTATAACCACATATTATTTCATTAAATAATTTCCATAGATTCTGTAAGTAACGTCTTATATGTATATTTGCGTATATTTTCTCAAATTTTTTGTACCTCATTTAACGCTGCTAATATCGCGATAGACATTGTGGACGCTAGCATGGCAGCAAGGGTTCTATGGACAACCTGTAATAATTAATTGTTAGATGCAAGAACAACAATATAACCGTTATATAACATACTATTGGGTTGGCCACAAAGTAACGTTGTAATTTTCAATAAGAAACAATGGTCCTTTTGAATCAATATTAACAACTTTATAAAACAATTTAAGTTTTAGTAACAGCTTTCGATATTTTCAATATCTCAGTAATCGTTCTTATTGTGTAACGTAGATTATTATCATTTAAAATGGATACTTGGTTGTTATCAATCTCGATACACCTACGAAATCGTTTATATACAGGGTGTCCTAAAAATGTCCTCCGACCCGGAAATGGGGCGCTCGGGGGGTGAATTGGAACAACTTTTTCCTTAGCAACAATGCAATCTGAGCCTTCGTTACAGAGATATTAACGACAAACCGCGACCAATCAGATCGCGAGTTTGCCAGCTGAGTTCCCGCGGTAATATTGGCTACCAATCGTAGCGCGTAGGCAACGTTACCGCGGGAACTCGGCTGGCAGACTCGCGCTCTGATTGGTTGGGGTTTTTCGTTAATATCTCGTTAACAAAGCCAAGGATAACATTTTTTCTAGGAAAGAACTTGTTTCAATCACCTCACGAATATAGATTGAAACTTTGAATGAAGTTATTATAAGTGAAAGATATTGATGATTTTCTGCATAACTATACATTTTTTAAAACGATTTCCTATGTGCATGATAATGGTGCTGTAAACGAAAGAATGTTTCAAAGATGGTTTAAGAAGCTTTGCGATTGAGACTGTAGTCTGGCCATTTACATATACATATGTATATGTAATGTATGTATGTATAATGTATGTATGTATAATGTATGTACATATGTGTATGTATATGTAAATGGCCAGACTACAGTCTCAATCACAAAGCTTCTTAAACCATTTTTGAAACATTCTTTAGTTTACAGCACCATTATCATGCACATATGAAATCGTTTTAAAAAATGTATAGTTATGCAGAAAATCATCAATATCTTTCACTTATAATAACTTCATTCAAAGTTTCAATCTATATAAAATATTTTTTATACCTATTCATGGTAAATTTATTCCAAAATTGTGGTTTATAAATAGCAGATTTTAATTACCTCAAATATTATTAATACATATAATCCCACTAAAACTATTGCAGCATATGCTATACCGATACTTTTGTCTATCAACGACAAATCGTAAGTCAGGGAGACTGCGAAACTGGATTCTAGATTAGTTTTTAGTTTAATTGACAGCAGACCTTCTTCCAATGCGCTAGAAAATAAAATATAAATGTTTAAATGGTAACATTTCAATTGGTATATACGGCATGTCCATGAAACAATGAGACCGGTTTTGTTCTTTGTCGTCTTGAGAACACGATAGGCAAATTTTATATGGTGTGTATGCCGTATGTGTATCGGGTGACATAGCTAACACAAATCATCTAAAATATCTCTGTTGATTTTATTGATACGAGAAAATAGTTCAGAAAGACGTTGTAAGGCTTAAGGGAGTATTCTAGTTTCAAGGATCCAAAATATATATTTAATTACACATAATTATTTTTTCTTATATTCACGAGTCTGTATAAAATCTCATGAGTAGGTAAACAAATGTTTAGTTTTTGTATGAATCAAATATGTTCAGTTTCAAAAGGTTATTTAATGATGCTGATGTTACTATGAATTCTCCCAACAATATGTCTTAATCAATCTTTCTTTCTCAATGAGACGAGCATTGTAACAATATATTAAATCTTATCACCGATATGTTTTTACTAAAAAATAACTGAACATACCTTATATCAGCGTTTTCTAATTCAAAGGTCTTATGATGCCTTTCACCTGGAAAAATGTCCACTAGATTTTCCGGAAGTACTGGTAACATCCATACATTGCTAATGTTCTGCGTATAAGATGTCAAAAATTGAAGTAAGTTATCAAATGTAAATAAAAGTAGTGTATATTATATTTTCATTTATACACACGTATCGATCACAAATACAATTATGGTTCTTAAACACTTGAATGTATGTACCTACTTATTTAGTGTCTGTAGGAAATATTACAAATTCTTTAAATTTTAAATTACAATTGGAAAGAACTTGAAATGGGTTTTATAGACGAAAATATAATCAAACATTTGTTGGTAGTTATGTGGAAAGAATTTTAGATACTGAAAGATACAAAAAGTCTTTTATAAAAAAGAAACAGTATTTCCTTTACTGAATAATGGAAGCATCAGAAATCGAAATAAAGTAAAACGATGTTGGTTATAACATAAATTAACTAAGAATAGGTAATCGACTCTTACAATTAGATAAGTTTAATCATAGACATGTACCACGCCATAAGGCGTTTCATAATTTTTGATAGTCCAGACCACAAAAAAACTTTTTATTGCTTCAATTTCCTGTCCGAAATTTAAAAAATTATATTTAGCATTCTTTGAAATTCAATTGGCACAAGTAATATCGGATATAAGCATGGCTTCTAACTAACAAAATATGTATGTACGTATTGTGAAAAGGTGATAGTTAAATGCATGGTTTAAAAAACATTACGATTGGGTTAAATTGTCCTGAATGACCTTGTTTTGAAAATAAGTGACGAGATGATGGATTTGTAGTAATTATGTTTTGTTATTTTCGTTCGTTTACTACACGATTACCATGCACATAGGAAAACTGTTCAGTTGTTTGTGCCGTGTTGTTCCCTTTTCGGAAATAGAAAAGCACATTTGCTCGAAAGTACACCTTCTAGTAATTCTCATTTCTTAGTCTTTATTAAAACCACGTGTTGACGTGTTAACTTTCAGAATATATACACATTTTATTATTTAGGAGCAGTACTTTGTATAGAAAAACAAAAAGAGCATCACTTACTGCAGAAATCCGACGTTACTTTTGATAATCCAATAATAGAAACAAAATTGTCATAATTTCTATAAAAACAATAGAAATGAATACATTTTGAACCGAAACTATGCCTGGACAAAGAATTTACAAAGATTGTACTAATATTACAGATACTATAACAAAATGTCTGCTATTTTTGTACTGTCAATTAAGTCAAATATAATTTATGATGTTATTTTATTTTAAAATTACATTACCTTGATTCGGTTAGAGAATTCAACTGAAGATTTATTATTTATATTTATTGTGTTATGTGTTAATTCTAACCATAACATTAAATATCGCTCAGATACATTCATATGACTCATTAATTTAGCCGGAGGTAGGAATGAACCTTCTACGACGACACTAATATGTTTGCTAGAAATATCGCCGTGGATTTTATAATCTATAGAAATTTAAGGAACAATTCAGTGCCAAGAGTAATTTTTCTAACAACGAGTGTATCCCAGGTGTTTACCTCCGATTGCTTTAGTTTTCGGATATGTTTTACAGGACCAAAAAATAAGAGATACGTATTTTTTTATATCGGCCCGTTTTCACATTTATGGGGTGAAACCACCCCTCAAAGTTTCGACCCGGAAGTACTATCTATCTCGAAAACCAAAGGACATACACGAAAAAATCCAATGGGCTAGTTTCATGGCTTGTTTATCTAGAATAATATGGTACTTACAAATTGTCAAAAATACAGTTTGTTTATAACAAAAATTCTTTTTATAACTTTATATTACAACTTATTGAAATTTACATAATCACAAAACATGACAAGCATTTCATTCCAAATCCATTGGTATATTTTTGTAAAAATCGCCCCTTACAGGTTCGCAGTTTTTTATTATTATATCTATATACGCATAGCTCAAGTTTAATTATTAATAAGAGATTCTTTAATTAAGATAATTAATTTTTATGCAGTCATGTATACATTCGTTAGGACGTATAAGTTGGGAAATTTTAGAAATGATGTAGATTTTGCTTTCGAACAGAATCCAGAAATGAAATGTGCACTTTGTGATGAAACACCGATAGTTAGATGCTCTTGGTGTAAAAAAGCATTTTGTTTAAAACATTTTTTTCATGAATATTACTTTCGTGACAAATGTGAACTGTAAAGCCTTCGATAATATATTATTCGAAAATCAAACCAATTGGAAGCTGCAAGAGCGGGCGTGCGCACTGGATATAAATAATAAAAAACTGCGAGACTGTAGGAGGTAATTTCAAAGAAAAATATACCAATGGATTTGGAATGAAATGATCGTCACCTTTATCATTATGTGAATTTTCATAAGTTGTTAAATAATGTTATACAAAGTTTTCGTGTTATAAACAAATTGTACTTTTGAAAATTTGATAACACCATATTATTCTACAGAAAAAACCATGAAACTCATTGCATGTTTTCGTGTACCTCCTACGGTCTTCGAGATAGTACTTCCGGGTCGAAACTTTGAGAGGTGGTTTCATCCCCTAAATATGAAAACGGGTCGATATAAACAAATACGTATCTCTCATTTTTCGGTCCTCTAAAACATATTCGAAAACCAAAGCAATCGGAGGCAGACACCTGGGATACACTCCTTGTCATAATGTAATACAATTACAAAATTTTCAGAATGAAATCATGTTGACTGCATGTATTTTCGAGACCACATCTGACGATAAAGATAGATTTTAGGCATTATGCGTACAAAACAAAGCGTTTCGCGAAAAATGAACTTGTTGGAATACATGTATTATACCTGTCAGAATTAATGTTTCTAAGTGTATCAGTTTTTATACATTGTTTGAATACTGTAAAAAATTGTTTAATAGTGAATAAAAGGATACTCTTTACTTGTCCCCTTGGTACTGAAATTTGATGCATAGTTTCAATTTTTTCACTCTTGATCATTAGTATAGACTGGAAATATGAAATACAATTATTAATTATTATGATAAGTAATCTGTTATGTTTAACAATAAAAATGGTATTTAACGAAACTTTTCTATAAAAATGTTTTTTAAGAAAGAAATTAATACAATTCTGTTACATAATTCTACGTACGCTATTATAATAAGACATGTATTAGTTTAATCGTATTAATTATTAAAATATAATATGCGATATATACAGTGTGTCGTAAAAAAAATTAAAATAGTTAATAATTATGAAGGAGGTCCATATTAGTTAAACAAACACTCAGGAATTAGGAGACATTTAAATATCTACTATATCTGATTCCCCGCTGTTATAATTAAATTTAAGAATATCTTTTGCTGTAATACATAATATCGTATATTAGGTATTGTGTTTCGGATAACTTACAGATAATGATTGTTTATAATATACAAACTATAAAAATTAAAAGATTATTCTACCTGTATTTGTAACATTCTTACTTAGAACATAGAATTATTATTGGTGTCAAATAATCTCTCTTTGGAATGAATACAAAGTAAAAAGATTTTCTAAACGTTTCGTAATTAAAAGTTTCTGTTTTACAAGATTGTCGGAATTGAAATATTGTTCTGAAATGTTTGTTAGACTCATCATAAATAATGCATACTGTAAATGTATTGTAAAACACTAATCTTTGATTGTTACAAAAATTGTATTTTATCATTTTGGTGATTAACATTTTTGTTGTCGTAAAAGGAATTTGTTATTGCTTCGTAAAATACTAGGTATATAAATTATAATATAACTTTGTCTTTGCTTGAACATTTATATACATATTTTAATATGTCTAATTTAGACAGTTTAAGAATTAATCACCATTAGTATTAAAGCAAATCTGGATAATCGATTTTTGTGTAGAATAATGTTTTAAAATAAGAAATTTAGTAAACAAACTTACCGTGAATATTAACCAACAGCAGAACAAAACTGTTAATTTTATGTAACGATAATGTGGCTTCTGTTTAGTTTCCTGAGACTCGTTCAAAGTATCCGCGTTTGTATCATCGTCGTGCTTTCTAAAATATTGTATGTAGAAGGTATGAGAATAATTCAAAATATATTCGGTAATAATAATTACTTAATATCATATTACTACACTGTTGATGGAATATACAGTGTGCGTAAATAATAAATATTATCTAAAATGTCTCGTTACCTATTGGTTGTATAAAAAAACGTTTTAAATGAATTATGTTGCAATTAGAAGGGACTCATCAAATGGAAGCAATTTGATTTATTTTATATCTTATATTTTCTGAAATATCTAGGCTATCCTGAGTTTTTTCGGGGTCAATAAATTGGTTTTCAATGGTGCGTTGCTTCTTTATTTCGAGACATTTAATATTTTGCATGTCACCCTATTTAAAGATACTGTTAAAGGTAATAAGTTTGTTGTATGCTTTTAAGGTTCCAGACATGTTTTATTTTAGATTATATGAGCATTTTTAGAAATATTTTCTCAGGAAAACAATATTTTTGTTAATCGCAAATGAGCTTACATAATTTTTAAGAGTAATAAATTGCCAAAAACGTGACTAATACCAAATTTAAATTTATAATACTCTATTGAAATAGATTTGTTTTGAAATATAATTCAAAAATATAAATAATAATAGTTCTAATAAAAACAATGAAGGCATATTATTGAATGTAAAAATACAGGGTGGGGCAATAACTCTGTCCACTTTGAATATTGCCGTTATTTGTAATAATATGAAAAAATGTTGTATACAAAACTTACACAGTACAGAGGGGGGCATATTGTGACACAAACATTTACTGCGTGGGTGAAGGCATAGAGATGATTTCAAGGTCATCTCTATTTTTTTTAATGGAATGTTATGTTTTTTTTATCGCGATGTGATAGTCGGTGTTGAGACGATTTCAGTGAATTATCATTAAAGGTCCTGCAAGGTCAAATGTGGTAGTAAAATAAACTTTCTTACATTACAGGAGATGCTCGAAGTGGTGACCGTTTGCGTCAATGCAAAGTTGCAATCTTTGTATCGCTGCATATATATGTATATATTGATATGATTATTATATATAAAGTTATATATAATAATCATTCTACCATTCTATCCTCAAAAACGGGATCGGTTCGTGTGTAAAATGAGTGATGAAAAGAACAGTATATAGTGCGAAAAACCATAAACGGAAGTGCAAAAATAAGTGTTTAGAAATAAAGAGAAGAATTATGTAGTGTGTAAGAAATCTTTTTACGATTATGACATGGCAAAATATTATACATATAAGCCCTATAGTGTTTGTACACACATATTACGTTTACAATGTAATTTTATCAATGGTTTAAATAAAATGAATTTTTATTAAATTTTGTTTTACTGTAATAACATTTATCTATTCTCAACCATTATTCCTTACCTCACCTGTAAAACGTCTATGACACACGTCTATGAGACTTCTTGAAGCCATCTTTAAACCGTGTGTAGCATATCTTTAATATGTCTATAAGCCATATCTAATACGTCTATTAAAAACCTATAAGACAGCCTTAAAATGTCTACAAAACGTCGATAACACATCTGCATTACCTACGAAGACGCCTGAGTCTACAAGTCTCCATGAGACCGCTCCAACCTGTCTTTAATATGGCCAGTTAGACCGTTTTAAGACATCTTCAAGACAACTCGTTTTTTCACAAGACACGCTCACAGGCTCTAGATAGGCTGTTCACAGGATATTACCAGACGTTTGCAAGATGACATGAACGTCTGAATACAGACATTTTCAACACAGTCACAAGACATACGTGTGCTATCTGGGTAGCTTTTGATTATTTGACTGATACAGAGTAACGATTCTTTCTTATTTAGCAGAGGTATTAACGTGAACGGACGTTTAGTTTCATAGAATTGCAAATCGATTAGTATAATGCTTCAGAGTTAATTAAACACAGTTCAAGAAAAAAATAACTGTCTCTAACCAACTCTGAATTACTTTTTTTTCTTAAACCGTCTCTAACCAACTTTAAAGCATTATACTATGTAATCGATTTGCAATTCTATGAAACTAAACGTCCATTCATGTTAATAACTCTGCTAAGAATGAATCGTTATTCTGTTGCAGTCAAATAAACACAACTATGGGCAGAATTCAATGTGCTAGTACCAGCAGTTTTTCGCGAATATCTCGGAAACTAAGTAACTCCCCCCGTTGTATGTATAGGAAAAAGTTGTTCAAAATGTCAAATTTTACAACATATCCAAAAATGATCAAAATCGGAGGTTAGGCAGCTTTGCTGCAGTTTGACAGAAGTTTTAAATAAATTTAGTCGTTGTTAGAAATAGACTCAACCAGTTTAACACTAGAACTATGTACCAAGCAAGTCAAAATGACGTGTCAATACACTCTTACATCGACGATTAAAATGTTATGACAATATATTTTCTCAGATATTTTGCACCTTTATTACGATATGAAAGTGAAGAAATTAGTCAATTTCTAAATTTCTAAATTTTCAAAAGTTTTTCACGTTTATCCACCGATCGAAGCAAATATGCGTTTATCAACTGTAGTTCTAGTGTTGAAGGAACACATTTATGCAATGCCATTCAACAGCCACACTTCTTTTCACTATGTCATGAGAATATTGTATTGTATTGTTACTATAAATATGAAAAGAATAGGTCCATTTGTGGCTAAAACTAACTTTAACTCATTTTTTTCAAAATTGGATTTACACCAGTTTAAAAAAAAAACGACTTATATATTCACTTGAAATGTAGAACACCAAATCGAAACTGAATAAATATATTTCGAATTTCATTAACTCCATATGTTATCTAGGATAATTGAGACATTAATAGTTAAGATGTACTTACTTTTTAGCAAGTGTAGGATGTGTCTCAACAGACATGTTCACAATCAGACAATCTTCGTTCCTGGCATCTGATGATCTACTGAAACAAGGAGCTGTTAGTAATTACTTATTTATTCTATACTGAGGAATCAACTGTCGAAATATACCTATATGTATGAATTTATATGTTGTATTTAAAGTAACGAGTGGTTAATGACGTAAATATGTAATCCATATAACAGTAAAATAGCAATTTGCTAATGCATAAAATGTTAACTAAATTACAAATTTCAGTCACTGAACCAGTAAAATTTAACCTAGCGACAAATATATGAAGCAGATTTAAATGAAGGATACTATCAGAGATTCCGAAATAATATATTGGGATGGACATAATAACCCTGTCTCGTCTATTTTTATTCGAGTTTTTCAATTTGGTCAGACTCGAAAATTATCATAATTTTATAAAAGATATTTCGCTGAACATGTAAAAAAAATCTTGCAAGAAGAAAATTGTTAATCATATTAAGATCAAATAAAAATAGGAAATCTCTAAAACTTCTTAAATTCTAATTGTCACTGTGTTATGAATGTATTTATAGAAATACTGACTTTCCTTCTGTAGCTTGGTGGAATCGGTTGTATTCCCTCTGAAAAGCTGCCAAGCTAGGATCCAAACGTATCGCCGGTGGTAATAGACTCCAAACACGAAGTACTTTTTCGGGAATCTGGCCAAGTACTATTGAACTTGATATAGAAGACGGTGTTCCAGCTACAAAACGAATAAGCGTTACAGAAAAAGATTAAATCGTTCTGCGTGTAGTGTTATAATTTAATAGGTCGATACACATGAAATGAGCGACTTTATTTATAGGCAGATTTGTGATGTCACTTTCATGAAAATTAGTAATACTGCTCCTTGCTTTATTGGAAAATAGTACATTGTACTCTAATCGTTTCAAGGTACTATGTGACATAACAATAAAATCAATGATGTTAAACACTAAAATAAATTAAGGTAGAGTATCAATTTCAGTTAAATTCGGCCATTTCTTTCACGCGCATTAAGCGATGGATATTTAAGCCAAATTTATAAATAATCGTTATAAAATGCATGTAAATTTCTGCTAAAAAATACTATTTATCGATGACAACATTTGACGAAAAGATGCCAGTTAAAAGTATTACTTTTGAGTCATCTACAAATTCCGTGACATAATTGTGTAATGAGTTGTAACCGGGGTTCGATGTTTATATTACGTAAAGTAAACAAAGATAAGGTATATTGCGGTACGAAGTTAATATGTGTATAAGGAGCGACATCAAACGCGCGACATTCAGATGAACACAGGATGTTTATTATTATGATTTTACATGATTCCGAACACTTTCTCAAATATGGAAATATTTGAAACACATTAAACAATATTTTAAGGCAACGCGAAGTCTATTTAAGCATTATTTAGTCATCTTTCTTGAATAACTTCATTGCTCAATACTTCTGAAAGACAGTTCGAGATAGAAAAGTAAAATAATTTTCTGAGATTTAAAGAAGGCCAAGAGGTAAGAGTTTTATCGCATGCGCTCTGAAAATCTAAACATCACTTGACGTCCCTCTCTAACATATTGTTTAATGTGTTTCATACATTTCCATGTTTGGAAAAGTGTTTGCAATCTTGTAAGATCATAGTAATTAACATGCTGTAAACTCAAAAACAATTGAGTGTGATTTTTAACGGCTTCATAGTTCATATTAATAAGTCGTACGTATGCATGCATCGAATATTGAAATAATTTGAAACTGAAAGTGATCGGGAAAAGTTCATTACAATTGCGGAACTAGTATCCAAGAATACATAGAAAAAATCAAACATTATACATATGGGAACGGGATGCCCATTGGACGGTACGGTCGGTGTCGATTACGCGTAGCTACGACACTGAAATGTCGAGAAAAGCGAGTAATGGTCGCGTGGCGGTAAAACACCGTGTACACGTTGCCGACGGATATTTTCCCGGCCAGTTTGAATTAAAAACCGTTCCGAAACTTATTCTAGGTGGTTTCTTCTTCACAAATGTCTACAGAATACGATACTGTGTAGCAAATTCGTACTATGTAGGTAAAGAACTTTTTATAAAAATACAAAAAAAGTACATAGAAAATATACACATCGGCTCTATTTTATATTTTCAAGGCAATTTACAACCATGAAAAATTACATAATTTTATAATTATGTACACTTATGTATTCGAAAAACTCTCCTCTATTTTTCAAGTTTAAATTGAATTTTCTAACGTTTTTAGTTTTCACGTAATACGTCATTTTTGGTCAAAATCGTGTGTTTTTACAAAAAACTCATGTTTTTACAAAATTGTGGGAGATGGAGAAATTCTGCTTTTGGATTCGTTATCTGGACAAGAAACTCTAAGGATTTATAGATCATGTAAACACAATGATTATAGATATTTTACTTACCTGGGGTTTCTCGGCTGCACCGAGATCCTTTCCTGAGGAATATCGGTGTGAGTAAACCAGTGTCATTTTCACTCGAGTCGCTATCAGACATTGCGGCGTTGGTTCTTTCCTTTTAAAATTTGTTCACTTTAAACTAATTGTTACTGACTAAATGTGAAAAATACAGTACACTAACGCATGAAATTTTCATACATTGCCATGACCAGAGATATTCACTAGAGATGTACTACATACATATTAACTATTCGATATTTAATCTCATCTTTATAAATCAAATGTTTTTGCAATAAGGAGTCGGACGGTTACATTAGTAAATATAGAATAAGAACGATTTGATTCTATGAAATTATATAAATAACAAATTGAATAAATTGTTATTAGTACTTTACATTATAGAAAAAATGTAAGCTATATTGTATGTCGAAAACAATCTTCAATATTTTTTTCATAAATCTTGTTACTTAATTCTGAAATGGCAATTTGAATTAATCATATTACTCTGACTGTTAATTTCTTAATTACTTTCTAATTATTTAATTTTACTGTAATTTTTTTTTATTTTCTTTACTAATTTTATTCGCCTTTCTTTATGCGTTTTCAATTCCTGCACCTGATTAAGGCTACATTCAGAGAAATTGATCGTGTGCGGAAAATATTACACAATGTTGAACTGATTATTATTTCCTAATTTTTTTCAATAATTCTGAAATGTACATTGCATAACAATTAGACAGTAAGCTTGCTCTATAATTGTGTATCTCTATCGCAATTAACATTTCTTTTAGAATAATTAATTTATCCATCATATATTAAAATAAAGGAAACATAGACGTATAGAAGTAAAGTACTAATTGCAACAAAAGAATCGTTACACTTTATTTTTGATTTGTTGATATTAATTATTGACAGATATTAATTATTTCTGTAGTATTTATTGGTAAAGATGCAATATTTGCATCGATAATTCCTTTTAAAGAAAATATGTGAATGAATTTATGTGTATGTATTACTATATTTTTAAATACTCGTGCGTTAACCTTTGTAACTGTCGTATTATTACACTTTTCGAAAATGCTTTAAGATATAAAACACTTTAAACACAATTAATTGCTAAACATTTTAAACTTGTAAAAATAAAAGTAATATTATTATCTTCTATTCCGAGTTCGTAACAATGATTCAAGTTTCCAGCATTTCTATTTGGTTTGTAAGTATTAAATTTAAATTCTACACATCGTTAGAATCTATAATACTGTTGGTAAAACAGTAAAAGTATTAACTTCCTCAAGCAACGTTGTCATTTTCTTTATACGTAGCAGGTAAATGACAAATATTGTATTAACACGGTTATTCATAAAGAAATACATTATCGTAGGGTATGTATATTTACATATACTTATATATTATATTATATACCTATGCACACCTATAGATATTATACTAAAGCTTCCATACATGTATTTCTTACTTAAAAAAAATTAATCATTACAATTAGAAACAATATATATTTAATGTTATCATAAGGTCAACGTAAACATATGTCAATATGTATCTTAGAGTTATAATTATGTATACAATTTCTAAATACCTTTTAAATAAATTTATAATACAATACATGTATCCATTTATTAAAATTTATTTCATAAATAGTTTCTACGTATTAAAACTTGAGAAATTCTGAGTCAGAAATTTCACAATAATCGAATATTACTTACCAGGAAGAAGTGATACACAGAACTGTTAATCTGTCTTTGTAAACACAGTCACACTACATTCTGTAGGAGATTTGATGGAACAGGCGGTCTGTGGAGACGTTTCTCCCAGTCATTTGGGTTTTTGGTAGCGGCCGCTAGGTGGCGAGTTTTCTCGCAAGCGGTAATTAGAGCTTTTGGCTACTTAAGCGGCTCCGTCAAGGAGCAACCCAGGCGTGTGGTGTAGGGGTCGTCTACCATCGTCAGCTCCACTGACGAGGTTTGGTAGACGATTCCCGACACGAAAACGCCGCCACCTTTTTGATCCGCCTACAATCCACTCACTGGAATTTTACAAAATTTTGAATACTGTTAAAACAACTATTTACACGTGAATAGGAAATGAAGGAACGTGAATCTGCGCTTAACGTTCTACGAGTTTCACTTTCTACTACTCGTATGGGTCGAAGTCACATTGTCCTAACTTTTTATTTGTTTTCATTTTCAGTTGAAATTTGAAATACTATCAGCCATTCCATTTTGAAACAACAAATTATGTATTTCAGTACATGTATCGTGTGTCAAGATTTCGTACGTCAAGGAAAATTTACTAGTTGTTACGTTTGATAACAGTTTACGACGAAATGTAAGAAAGCAAAATAGATTATGAATATTTTGATTAATGTTACCAATAATAAACAATGTATAATTAACTTGTTCTACATACATTCTTTCAAATATTATATGTGATTTTTATCGATAGGTGTGTTTAATGAATTATAATATACAAATGTATGTTATGTCGAATAAGTGTCATGTATGTAACTATGTACGGGGTATTTACATATAACATTCAATGTTTTCATTCTGTAACCGTACATATTATTCGTATCTTGCGGTACGATTGGCGTAATAACACACGTATACGAGTCGCAGCCCCACTACCAGTCCCCGTCCTCCAGTGCCTGGTGGCACGAATCCGACATTTCTACAATATCGTTGTATAGAAATCACGGGATACGTAGGAAGTAAAGTAACTGGCCTTCAGAGATAAATTAAATGTAAAATTTATATTAAAAATGACAATAGTACGGTTATAATTCATAGACCCTAACAGCAAAATACTGAACAAATTTATTATAATTTAAATTTGAACTTATTAATATTATTTGCTTACTAATACATAATAGATTGTGGATATTTACAGTGTATCTGTAAGGTGTGCATATGAACAAAATAAAATAAAACAATATAAAATAAAAATTTTAACAAGAATTTATGAAATTTTTATTTTATTTTAAGCCGTAAATAAAAATTAAGTAAATTTTTTAGTTCATTCTATTTATTGTTTCACAAAACTGTCTACCACTTTCAATTTTATCATAAATCTCACAATTTCATGTTTCTCTTTACCATCGCTCATTATAATTTCGTTTTCCGTTACATTACCAAAATTGCATTTTATTTTAAAGTCAGTATGACATTACGTAACATATTGCACGAAAATGTTACAGTTTAATTCTTAGTGTCCACTGACTAAACGTTGCTAGATAATCGTCAAAAATATTGTTTTATATGGTAACAAACCAAATTATTTTTATAAATGAACGATTATTGTTATAATAGTAAACACTAAATTTCGGATACCTAATGAGCATGCTTATTATAATGAATTTAATTATGATTGTAGGCGGCATTCAGAAATGAAAAGAAAACAGCAGCATTGAGAGCCAATCCTAGGTACTGAATAGCGTGCAACTTGAAAAAGGTCTGTTGCTTCGTCCTTCTTGATTTCCTATTAACATTATATGTTTCAATTAAAGTTAGATATTTACTTGAATTAGATACTGTAAGTGTTATACATAGATAAGTGATGTTATTTTGAATGCGGAATCATTTAAATTCAAGTATGTGTACGGAATTTGTAGTGGTTCAAATTTATCCGGTTTTAAAGTTAATAAATGTAACTGAAGGAGGGTCGTTAGCACATAATTATTAACTCAATTGCTAATTAATCAAAGTGTTAAATGTCTTATGAATTAATATTTGTACCGGATAAAATGAATGAGGAAGTATAGGAAAAGTAAAAGAATTCTGATTTAAACGTTGAAATCGATGATTAAAGACGAAAATCAATGACGAAAAATGTTGCTTTCATTATCATCGTTAGATAAGAAGTTAAGAAAGGTTAATTATTCCAAGTACAATAAAATTTCGATCATCGAACCTGTGGGGAGACAAAAGTGCACAACTAACAGAATTTTCGACAACCTTTATCACGTGAAGCTTTATATATTTTAAACATAATAATACAAGTGGCCAGAAAAAGATACGTTGTACAAGAAAAGTTTACAGGCTACTTTTAGCTTCCAAACTTGAACCGTTTTCGGGATATGTATGTAATGTCAAAATGTGACATTATTTCAACCACAATATTTTGGTTATTTTTAAACGTGGAGTATTGATTTTTCTCTCAATTTGAAACTAAAGAAACGCTTTAACTACCTGTATAGACAAAATTTTGTTTATCGTTAATAAATTCAACGATAATTAAAGTTACATTTTTAAATGCTCATTTGACACTGTTCTCACTCATTGAAGGATCTTTTGAGTTCTCGAAGTTAATTACGTTCTTTTATTAATGATATTGAAATACTATAGAATAAAATTACTTTCTTTTTACATAAATCGATTCTTCTAAACATGCTGCGCAATAAAGTATTAAAGTATTATGTGAAAAAGTTAATGATTCGTGACATATTTTAGTGGCAAATGTCTAGCTTGGTTAGCATCTTTTATGCATTACGTGTCATCCGCAAGACAAGAAGCAATGAAATTGCCACCAATATTCATTCCACTAATAAAAACATTGCAACATTTTATTAAAACAGTATTATATACATTTTGCTTTCTGTGATGCATATTTTTCTACATGTTACTATAAGTAACTGTATCTTAGGAAAGCGATATCATTGTGCGCCACCCAGTATAGTACGACCGCCGCGGCGCGTGACAACTGTTTGGCTCTCGCGGCATCAGCACAAACCACGTGACGTATATCATGATTAACTTTATTTTTTTTTACATGTTCCTGAAATCGCTCCATCATTTTGATCTAGTGGTATTTTTTCCAAATTGATCCATGGGTGGGAACAGTGTCAAATGAGCATTTAAAAAAGTAACTTTACTTATTATTGAATTTATAAACGATAAACAAAATTTTGTGCATACAGGTAGTTAAAGCGTTTCTTTAGTTTCAAATTGAGAGAAAAATCAATACTCTATGTTTAAAAATAACCAAAATATTGTGGTTGAAATGATATCGTGTCAGCTGATTTCGTTGGATTTTTAAAAAATTTGACATTAAATGTCTCGGAAACGGTTCAAGTTTGGAAGCTAAAATTTGACATGGGTCATTCTTTCGTGGTTAACACAAATGCTGTCAATTTGAAAAAAATCGGTGGCTCTGACCGCAGTTTTGTGTTTTTTGACGTGGAATGGCTCGTTCGTATACGTACACGGTGGTTTTTGAAACTGAATTTTCTTGAAACCTAAGCATTTTTCTTTGTACATATGCAAGAACACACAACAATTTAGGCTCAGGCAGATAAACAAGAGAATAGAGGTAGTTGGTATGCGATTTCTTTATTCATATGTGTCATTACAGTTTAATAATTCAAAATTTGTAATCCAAGAATGGTTAAAGTTACACGTTCCTAGGACATTAATTTACTATAATTTAAAATACGTACGTAATTCTGCTTATTTCATGCATAGTAAGTGTCTGGGGTCTAATTCTCGACAAGATTGAATAGGCTGTGACTTCACCGACTTCGATGGAACCATCTATTGTTCCTGGCCAATCAACAGCGTATTCGCTCGACGCAAAAAAAATCCTTGAAAAAGATTCATTATTATAAGCTACTCTGTTCAATGTTCCAAGATTTATTGGTCAAAGTGTTCCAGTATGCATCGTATGAAAGATGGTAATGAAAATATTATCGTAGTCTGCTTTTGTCATAACATTTGAATTAATTATTTTTGCCAAATAAGTAGTATCGCCAGTATCGGCAGTGTCTCACCAGAAAGCCAATTGTACGGCATAATAAAAATTTGTCATAAACATTGATTCGTTGGATTTGTAAGAAAGTAATACGTATCATATGCTATTGAATAGCATTTGTGAAAGTCATTTAGTGTGTCCAGTTTGTGTATACACTAGGCTGGCCCTTAATTTTCAACATCCGATTTCTTTTGCCCCCACCACGTAGTAAGGTTCCATTTTATAAAAAAAATGATCCCCGAAAAAGTTTATTTCAATCGGACAACAGGAAAAGGTGCCGACCAGGCCTTTAAGTTTTGAATTTATTGATGTTTTTTGAGTTTACAACCAATTTCTCAAAAATGGTACGTCTGATCGAAATTTTGGACAAATAATATTAAAAGTGCGTTAAATTTTCTATAATTTCTCCCTATATAACTTTCTCGTATTCCCATCCATTCTTAAGATAATAGCGTTTGAATATTGTAAAATTCGCATTACGTACATGTATAATACCACGCTAATTTGCACGTCGCGCAGGGTGAAGGACAACAAATTTCTTATAAAAAATAGAGAATCCCTTAATTTATAGTATCGTAGCAGTGACGATAATCTTGCGTACAGTTTGCAAGACAAACTATTTGTGTTCCTGGTCTTTTATTAAATATTCATTGTCATCGGTCACTAACTTAACTGCTCTCTCTGCTGCGTCATTTACTACCCCTTTGCTTACTATTTCAAATCCCTGTTTGTAGGCATCTTGTTACAATCACGTTACAGGGTTTATATTTAAAAATTCCGCATTCATGTTAAATCTCTTAAAAAATACTTTAGTTTCCGCAGAAATCAAATATTCTAGTTCTTGTTCAGTCATTTCATTAATGCTCTTATAATATTGTTTGAACAAAATTTGGATACGACTTACCATTTTTGAAGAATTCTTTAAAAGCTCCAAAAACATGGATAACTTAAAAACTTTCGGATTTGAATAGATTTATTCTTCAAAGGCATTCGAATTTGAGATTTTTGAGGAATGAAATCCAAGTGTGGTTTCTATCAAAAATTAGACCGAGGATTTTTGGTGTTTGTTATTGTATGTAGTGTGGATACTTAGGGATGTGATCGAACTGAGAGCGGAGCGTGAGCGAACCGAGAACGGTAACATAAAGATGGTAATTCTTATTGTTTTATTGTATTATTGTTTAATCTATTCACATACCTTCCATTGGAAGTATTTGTATGTCTGGTATGATTGACGATGGAAGTTGGCTTCATAACACTCATAGGACTACTAATCATCCCTTGTTCATCTGATAAATCTGGATTCCATACTTTAAACTGAATGTATTTTTCTGCTTCAGTGGTGTCAAAGCATTTATTTAGGGTTTCAAAAAGTTCCTCTGTGTGAGGCGCAGAAGAATTCGATTGCGCAAGAAATCCAGAGAGCACGAATGCATTTGTGCCAGTATGCGTTGCATCGTAAGCGATGTTAAGGTTGCTATTGAGGTCCCACGTAGTTACAATATCTTTTGCGTGATCATTCCACAATGGTATTCTATAAGCGATTTTGAAAACTGTATTTTCACCCGAGGCATATAGATTATGAGTGTTTAACAAATATTCTGGCGGTGATTCGATGATGATATTTTCTATTGGCGGTGGTACCGCTAAAACTGCGAGTTCACATCTGTAAAAGAAATGAATTCATGATTATAATCGTGTATAACTTAAAACTTGTATTTGCGAACAGAAAAGGAAAAATTATGACGGAACTGTATTCATCAATTTTCTGCTATAAAACATTCTTTTCTTCTATGATTTGAGAGTTGTCAAGAGTTTTGGAGATAATGATTAACAGAAGATACTACAATATATCCTAATTATTTAACGCATTGAGTACACTTAGGATTTGCAAATATACGAAAGAAAATGAAAGTAACAAATTGAGAATAATTAAAATGTTTAAAAGATCGAAGAAAATTATATTCCATTTGGCTCATAGTTAATATTTATAACTCAATAAACAGTAGTAGGTAGCATTGTATTGTAATAAATAATACATGCAATATTGTGGTTAATTATTCCAAATAGGGTACCTGCTTTTAATTACACATTTTATTAAGATGATGTACACACTTAAAGCATAAATAAGGATCATAATATTAAATTACTTGAAGCGATTTTTCGCTGTTTCTACATACGCTCGATCGTCGTTGAACCGAACTTTTTTAACAGGTTCTACGTATCTTATTTTTCCACCGAGACGCAAAATTTCGTTCAGTAATACGTGTACAATTTTGATCATGCCATTCTACAAGTAACAAGGATGATGATATTAAGAAAACTATTGTGTATCTAAAGAAGCATATATTTGTATACTTTGTTCAAAGTGAAGTTTGTTATAATTAGTTCTACGTATTTAGTTCAAGTGATGCAATTATTTTCCTTTGACGTTATCTTTAAGCTTCACTGAAAATCATGGATGTTTTTTTTTAAGTAATAAATTCCGCTTTCATAGTATTGCAACAAGTTGAGAATAAATTGAATACCGTATGATACTCTGACCTTTAAATGATATTAAATATGACGTTAAAGAGGGATCTGTTTCTACCATTATAATTGTTTCCTTTGAACAACATAACTTTTCTTTTTGTCACTTTCTTTTACTTCCCAACCTCACAGAAAAGTGTTCTTTTTCTCATAACTCACCTTGTATATCTATACAATGTGTTAATTTTTTGCAAAAAATTGAGATAAAATTTCTTATTTACATATCAATTAACTGTATTATATTATTTCTGTTCAAATATATGATATACAGATTTTATTATATTTGTATTGTGACTTTTTTAAAATCAAATGCATGTAAATTAAGCAAAAATGTAATAAGTATCTTATTGTAATCATTGCTTGCACAAAAATGTGCCCAATATTTATTATTAGTACATATGATATACATATATGTTTACCAAAATGTAAAAATTCATATACTCGTTATTGAAAAATAACAAAAGAATCTTTAGATGCAGTTTACTGCCCACTCTATGAAAGCATATTTTAGTAGCAACTTGTTAATTGTTAATGTCTGCATATACAAAACAGAACAAATGTTATTGAAACAATATTTGTGACAGTAATGAAATATCAAGTTATGAATGGCGAGGAACTTTACCAAAATATTTATGTGTATGTATAACAGTTTCTGAAAATGCATTATATATACTTATGGTACAGTAAATACAACTTATTAATTGTACACGTACTTGTATAAAATATCGATTTCTGTCACCCATTGTAACCTTTAATCGATTAAAAAGGCCAGATGATCCATTTAACATGACAAGTAACCAAAGAGATGAAATATTATTCAGGTTTTCCATAGCTACAAGAAATATTATCTTCAATATAATAACATTACATTATTATCAGAAAATAAACATTTCAAATTTATACAAGATTGACGTAAACTATTTTCCTTTGTGTTTAGCGATATGAAAAAAATATTTAAATTAGTATGGCAGTAATCAATTTCTGGAGGGTGGAAGCGTATTGCAAATTTCAAGATCATCTTAATTCTTGTAAGTTGCACATCTGCCTATTTTTAATGCATGGGCAGGTATTCAGTCAATTTTAAGGATTTATAATATATGCATGAAAAAAAGCTAGGCAGTTCTAGACTTGTAGCAAATTCGTGCTAGGTAAAGAACTTTTCGTGAAAATGCAAAAATAGTCTATAGCAAATACCCACATCGGCTCTTTTTTAAACTTTCACGGCTATTTACAACCATTCAGAATTACACAATTTAATAACTAAATACACTGCTGTATGTAGGGAACTCTCTTCTATTTTTCAAGATTAAATTGAACTTTCTAGCGTTTTTAGTTTTCACGTAATACGTCATTTTTTGTCAAAATCGGGTGTTTTTACAGAAGCTCGTGTTATTCAAAAACTGCGGGAGATTGAGAAATTCTGCTTCCGGATTCGTAATCTGAATGAGGAATTCTATAAGGGTTTCCCAATGGATATTGCAGATTAAAAATGGTGTTGGACAGTGCTATCGTCTTCTATGTTTTCATATTAACGTTATAAGTTGATATTGACGGTGACTTAGATTATTTATTCATAGTAACATTTGTCCTTTGAAAAAAAAATGTTTACTTCTTCAATAACTTTTTATATTCCCAAAATCAGGGAAGATGTTAGAGATATTTATATTAAGTTAAAGTACATTATATAAAAATCGTTATTATTACAATTAAAATATATTATTACACTTTATATTGTTACAATTTAAGTAGAGGTTATTAAAGCTTATAAAATGTAGGTATATACTGTATTTAAGAATAAAATCGTATGACATCATTTTTAAAAATTATGGTGACCTTGAAATCTCCGATACACATTCAGCTACTTTAATATGGCCCTTTATAATACCATGCATTTTTCTTACATAGTATTTCTTTGTACACTTGAAAATAGTGGGTTTATTTTACACGAAATGTTATTTTCCCACTTTATTTATTTAAATCACAATGAATTTAAAGACTGAGTCGGTTGTTTAATCATAATTTGAATAATATCAGTTAATTCGAAATCAATTTACCACATGAGCTGCAAATAAATGCGCGACATAATGTACGTGAATAAGGAAAATAAACCAGTCTACGTAACAACTGTGCAACAGATGTTTCTGCGAGATGCTTTGCGTCTTCATGTTTAGTATAACTATTAAATCTCGGGTCCAATGAATTTTTCTCAACCTAAAACATAAGACTATATTAAAAACATTAAATATAATTAGAAGTTATGAATGACAAGTGGCTATACTATTCAATGTGAATACAGATATTATTAGGTTGTTCCGAAAGTTCCAGGCGATTTTAAGAGTAGAGTTTCAATATATAGTTTTCAATTCTATTTTATTTACAATTTCTTTCTATTTTTTAATTAAGTTGATTGCACCAGTTATACACAGTTTCGATTGTTTTGGCTAAAAAAGACTCGACAACCTGGTCTATATTCTAGATGAATTTTGTTTTCGACGTTTTTTCTGTGACTCAGAATATTCTGGTGATCTGAAAGAATTGTTATCTGATGGGATAAAGTCTTATTAATTGGGTAGATGATATCAAATTTTCTAGTCGAAGTAGTGTAATATTTTAAAAAGTTTGATAGAACGTAATGATATTAGACTTTATATTTGTTCATACGTTTCGTCAGTAAAGACCTCTGAAGTATTTGCTAAAGTGTAAAAGGTATATATAAAAAAAAAAGATAGATAAAACATTTTCTATCGTATACTTTCAATGTTTATTAACCCATCCCTTACTATATTTTAATCGGAATAAAGAAATACGAAATGTTTCTTATGTTACCAGTTGAAGAAAGTGATGAACTTCTGCTCCATAAAATCTAGGTAACTTTTTGGATGGACCGTACTTTGTGTACAGTATTCTTTTCTTAACATCAATATTTTCTCCTTCATTAGTGATTACATGGAACTGGTTTGTCAAGTCAGTTATATGTTCTTGCAATGAACTAGCATAATACGTATCACTATAATCTGGAAGTATTCGGCCGCCTACTTCTTCTGTTTTTATATGCAAATAAGTAAGTTATAATATTATCATAAGTATTCGCAAATTTAGGACCTGACAAAGTGTAGTAGTTTATAATAACAAATAAGCAGTTTACACGATTATATCAAAATGCAAATATCACTATTACAATATTATAAGTGTAAAAATAATATAAATTTCCCTCGTTATTTGACAGCAGGTTTTAAATGCCAAATTTAAAACAAACCGTATAAAAATTGCATAATTGAAAAGAAACACCTATCAGTGTAGTATACTGAATTAAGATATGTCTTACGATACTTTTAGTTTTTTAGATTGTATACGTACATATACAATCTAAAAAACATGTACTTAGCATATTTATATAATACAATAGTTAATACTGCTTTACTTATGAAAATATAACGACCGAATATATTACTTTATATTGTGATATTTAAAATAAAACTACTAAAAAATGTGTATTTGTAAAGTATACTTAATAAAATTATCCAAGTAGTTTAATAATCAATTGTTACTGATTTTTTGTTTATGTATAATGATAATTACTATTTGCCTCGATAATTAATACTTCTAACCCAGCTTTTCTCTTCAGGATATTGTACGCGCAAATAAGACCACTTAATCCTCCTCCTATTATTATAATATCGTAGTCATTGTAATCTTCCATAACAGAGTTTTAAAAATTATCGTCAAATTTTCAAGCTATACGTGTTATTACTTGAGTTTCTGTTTGTATAAATTGATTTATTGTAAAAAATGTTCTAATAAATTTCAGTCCTTCTTGTTCTTCGGCTTGAATTTGGCAATTTAAAAAGTCTGCGATATATGTACATATGATATGGCGTCTTGAAATTATGTAATTTCCAAAAGTTACAAAAAATTAACTTTCTTACCTTTTTATGTAATTTAATAAACAAGATTTTACGTACAATAATATTTGTAGTGTTACTTCTAATGTATATATATATATACACACACACACACACACATTAATTAAGTACAGTACAATACAGTGAATATAATAATTGACATTGTTATAAATTATAAATTATCTTTAAAATGTCTCTTTCAGTTTCATTTTCAAATATTTAAATTGATAATAATGCATGTCAGAATTTAGGGGAGACGAGGGAAATGTGGGCCAGTTAATGGAAAGTTAAGATACTTAATCATTTACTTGAAATATTTATTAGAATTGTAGCGACCTTGTCACTACCATTCTCCGAGTTTTAGGTAGTATGCGTGAGCGGCGATTTACCGGGTTTTTCCGGAAGGTCTTGCTCGGGGCTGGCTTTCGTCGATGTACCCATCTGGCAACCAGATTCGTGCAGGCCTACAGTTTTTAAAGTTAACAGTGAAAGTCAGCGAATGTTGTCACCATTGTTGGGTCATTTTTTCTATGTTTGTTCCCCAAGGTCTTCGGTCTTGGAGGGCATTCTGCAAGGACGCACGGAAGCGTTCACTTCCTACCGCGTCAGCGCACAACTTCTAGTACATCTTTTATCCGCGCTTCATTATAGATCTAGTGTTTATGTATCGCACGATTTCAATTGTGTAACGTTCGCGTCGTATTATTAAAAGAGTGTGGACGAACATTGATTACAAATTATTATACCTTTTGTCGCCTCAGAACCTTTGACAATTCTTTAAACAAGCAATACATAATTAAATAAGGATAGCCTTCTTTACGTTTTATCAACTCAAATTAAGCTAGAAAGTATCAAGGAATGTTAGAAAATCTGTTTGTTTTCAATAGAGAAGCGAAATAGTTCAGCAAAACACGCGGCGACGATAGAGATACTCAATGACGGCGGTCGCCTTGCCTGCGCGCGTTTAGCGCATCCGTTATGTTGATTGTGAGTGGCAGGCAAAACGACCATCGTCATTTAGTATCACTACCGCCGCCGTGTGTTTCGTTGAACTATTTCGTTTCTCTAATGAAAAGCAAACAGATTTTGTAACTTTCCTTAACACCTTCTGAAGCAAAAAGGTCTGCTCTATCGCGTGCTATGATTAGATTCTCTCCTAAAACATTAGTTTTTGAAATAAATTGAGGAATATGAGCTTAAATTGGCGCGTTTACGGTGTCCTATTGACCTTGAAAATTATTTACACATATTTAGATATCTATAATATAATAACACTTTATATCATTTTGTTCGGGAGAGTCCAAAGAATTATTTTGTGTTAAATGGAATTGAATAACTATTAATGTAAAAGCACAACACAGTTCCAAATTTGAAAATTTGCAATGTTTAAAAAAATTGTGTTTTTCAAAAACTGGACGTGCTGGAAAGAAACGGTTTGCAGATTCGTATTCAGCTCATAAAGATCTATTAGGAACGCTTCCGAACCATTATGAGGTATTTTCGTGTTGAGTAGTGTTAGTAGAGATCCATAAGAAGTATGCATAAGCATATTGTACTGTACGGAATACCAATTTGATCAACTACTTTATATATGAATCGTCCTTGATGAATCAAATCAGCTGCACTTTTCAGCTCTTCAAAAGTCCAATTACAGTGATTCCTCGATGAATGCGACACGAACAACGACGTTATTCCCACCAGTAGGGGCTCCCTTTCTAAAATTAATCAAAACAGTAAACAGAAACTAAACATAGGTTCGGCTTCGTCGAAAGAAACAAATTTATAAGGGGCTAAAAACCTTTACGCCTTGCCACGAATGCTCCGAAACGGACCCGAGTTCGTTGCACTCATGTAGACATTACTGTACCTACCCTTGTTGGTAGCCCTTTTCCAAGTTCTTGGCAGCTTTAGCAAAAGAGGTATCGCTGTTCAATGTCTTTTGAAATAATATATAAGAGCCACCTGACTCTCATTACCCCTACGACCGTTATTTTATTTCGGTGAAGATAGCAGGAAAACATTTAAAATAAACACAAAATTAGTGTTATTACAACAAAATTTAACTGTGGATCATTCCAATTAAGTCGTAACAAAATATAATAGACAAAGGTTTTGTACTGATTATTTCGATGCAAATTTTTAAGAAGCAATATAAAAGATGTCCTCATGAAAGCACGTTCTTCGTCAGCAGCACGAAGGCGACTAGCGACAGAAACAAATGTTCGGTACCATCGGTGCTGGGACGGATACCTTCAAGCGAGATTTGAGCTCGGAGAAATGCATTTGAACACCACGTTGGTGTTTTTTGTTTCTTTTCCAGTCATTTTATTTACACGTATTCAAGAAAAACTGAACAAGTCAGAGAAGTTATGAAAAGAAAGTTACTTATATTCATTTTCGGAGCTTCTAATGACGCACCTTGACGCCATTTTTTTGATCGATACTGAATTTTCCGGATGAGTGACAGTTACTGTAGTTTTTAGGAAGTCGGGTCCCATAATTTTTAACCATTATTTTTCAAAGTTAATTTAACATATGGGTAGTTTCTCTTGTTAGTTTAATCTTGTTTTACAAGAGGAACTCAAAGTGTGATATGAATATCTAGTTCTAGGTCCCGCCATTAATCTAAGTGCCGAAGACTTCAGAACAATTAATATTCAGTTAGTAACTTTATAGTCATAATACAGCATTCTGTTTATATAGTCCTAATACTCTGTTCTCGTAAAATGATTGTAGAGAGCAGTTGGTACGATTTCGTGAAGGTTTCATTGGTCGGAAATTTACTTATGCCTTGGCTGCAAAGGCAAACGGAGAATAACAATGAGCGAGTGAGATGGAATGAAAGCCCTATAAAATAGTGAATATGGTGTATATTAATTATTACATATACTGTCACAACCCTAAAACGATACTGTCCATTTTTTAAGATAACGTGCCACGTTGGGGTCGCGGGTGACACGTAAATAAAAACTAAATATTATAAATACTTCCACTTTCCGTATTTTTCTTGAGACATTTTAAGAAAGAATGATTGCAGCATATTCTCTTATAAAAATACATACAGGAAAAGAAAATTAATTAAGAATTTTAATTTTACGAAATATAAACGTTATATTAAACTGTATGCTAAAAGAGAGTTCGTTCGATATGCTTTCACATCGTGGGTATTCCAATCACTATACATACCTGTATAGTTTTTAATGGTCAGAAAGTATAATTTATATCTTACCTATGTGGCTCAGAAATAAAATTTAAAAATTAGGCACAGTCTCCTTGAACATAAAACACACGGCAAATGCAAATCTACCACTTGGTTTTTTTTGTGTAAATTTTTGTAACTCAGGCGCACATACGTCAGCGATTAATGTACGTAGTTGTCCGGGTATAGGTAATATTGACTGATACATGGACTTTGAAGTGGTTTTCTATTAGCGCGAGTGATAATTTTTTTATGTAATCATAGCATTTTACTAAAAAAATAGAGTTGGAACAGTTAAGAACTCGGTCAACGATATATCCATTGTTTCGAATGATAGGTAACGTCTCATCTTGTTCTATATGTATATATACGGGATAATACATATACCAAACGTTTCCTATACTAGATGACACCACCTGCCGTTTCGTAAGATGACGCGAACTTTCACGTACAAATTCCAATACGCGGCATCTGAAAAATAACGGTCGCCACCGTCTCGAAGCAGTCAGTCCCTTGATAATTCAAACAACTTTTAACTGCAACCTTTATAACTCCCGCGATGGCCTCCTTCTCTTCCCTACCCTTCCGGTTCGTCCTAGAAGCGTTACTTTCTTCCGCCCCCTTTACGACTGGTCTACACTCTCTTTACGGAGCTGTACATCTTAAATAATTGATCTTAACGTAGTTGCCGGCGTTTTTATAACTGTTTTACCGCCCGCTGTTGCCGCTGTGATATATATTATTTAGCTGTCGGTTTTTAAACTTGGCTCCATGAACGTCGAGGTGTGAAAAGGCTGACGAACTATCGGGCATATGTATACTCATTCGTACTCATTACTGTCCCCTGTGTGTCATTAAGCGGGGGATTCTAGTGTAGACGTTCGTTTTCTATGTGATTTATTGGGATTTTTTTTGCAGAGAAACTGTAACACATTTTGCAATCAACGTTTCATTGCATATTCATGCACATTTCAAGAATATTTATATTTTTTTATGTCGAGAAGAAATCGACATTGGTGACACTGAATGCTTTCGAATACAATTGCTTATAAAAAAGGTCATATCATGGTGTCCGTGTTTCTAGTCGTTCTGCCCATCTGAAATAAAAAAACCAAGACAATTTTTAATTAGAATGGATTTGATATTGCAGGTATCAAAATCAATTCAAAATCTCTCTTTTTTATATTTTTTTTAAGCTCTCGAAAGTTGAAAAAAAAAACAAAAAAATCAATAGTCAAATTTCAAAGTGCCGCCATTTTTATAATTATCGACTTGTTTCTTTTGTTCTGGTACCTGCTATAGTCAAACTCATTCTAATTGAGAATCTTTTTGGCTTTTGTATTTCAAATAAGCCAAATGGCTGGAATCATGGGCACCATGCGACGACCTTTTTTTTTATGAGCGATTGTGTACGAAGCATGCCGTGTTACCAATTTTGTTTTTTTCTCGACATAGAAACTTGTAAATGTTCTTGAAATATGTATGAATATACCCTGAAGTGTTGACTACAAGAAGTGTTGTAGTTTCTTTGCAAAAATGCCCCAAACATCATATTAAAAACGGATGTCTACCCTCATCTATTACCTTAATACGTTGACT